CTTGCTTCTCGATAGAAACCGCTCTATTTTTTAATTAGAGAGAGAGAGAGAGAGAGATCAGGCAGTGGGTGAAAAGTCTCTGGGTTGTGTAGCAAACAGTAGCACCACCAGCACTGCAGGCTGCCTGTGTCTGAGGTGTTGACTACACTGGTGGCTGTGGCACAGATGGATCAGACAATACCGTGCGATTTCTTCCTTATGTGGCATCGTTTTCTGTGAAGTCGTGAGTTTGGCTGGAACAGGCTGATTTTCAGGTTAGCTTTAGCATATAATCAGAAATAGAACCGCATCTAAAAAAATGTAATAGTTTTGATAGGGGCATTAGATCCATGCACTTTCCGTTGCTTATCAGAAGAAGAAAACATTTACAATGTTTATAAAATTTATAATTTGTAGAGCTAGAGGGAACGTTGTATGTACTCCTTTTCCCGATCAAAATAGAGAGGCCAAATGCATCAATAAAATCTCAAATAACAAAATAGTCCAATTAATTCAACGTAGAGAGTTCAAATTCAGCACAATGGAAAACGTAAGCAAATGCCAGCTCAAATGTAATCCCAGGAGAGCTCAAATGTAAACAATAAGGAAGTCAAATTCGTCATTGTCAATTCAAATGCTGCATAGTAAAGTTCAAATTCAACAATACGAAAAACTACGAAGCTATGATGTAACCATCATCTCTTAGCAACGCCAGCTGTTTACTGTACGGGTTTCTCGCCTTTGGAACTGTCTTCCACTGTCTAGATCTAAGTTTAGATCTAACCATAACCACCTTTTGTTAGATCTTAAACAGATTCCAACATAAGTTAAGGACCACTTGCAAACACTCTGAGTCTGAGTGGTCTTCTTAGGTCGACCTGCATGTGGGCGTTCATGGACTGATCCAGTGGCTTGATGGCGCTGCCTCAGGCGGACAATGACAGTGTGCGACACTGCGCAAGCCTTCTGGCAGCTTCTCGGGCTCCAACTCCACCCTGCAGCCATGCCATATTTCTGGCACGATCAAAGTTTCTCAGCTTTCGTCTTGGTGGCATGTTGGTGCGATACTGGATGTTGCGCAAACAGCGGCTTATATTGCCACCAAAGTGAGCACATTTCGAGACCGTATGTCTGTTTATGACGTGCACCAAAAATTTTAACTGAGCAATGTCCGTGATGTCGCACACAAGTCGATAAAAAACAGCAAATCTGGCTTAAAATCCCCGCGGATTTCCGTGTTGCACGTGGTAGTTTGGTGGTCCTTTAGGAAGCTTTGCAGTACGCGTTGGTAACCCATTTACACTTTCAGAGCAAAACAATTTGGAACATTCCTTGCTGTATTTTTTCCGGATCTTTTAAAAATCAGGGCTGTCAGTCATGTGGTCCTTAACTTATGTTGAAGTCTGTAGTTTGAAGCAATCAATCTTATAACAGAACTCGCCTGAAAACAAGACCCCGGCATATTAAACATGTCTTACAAAAATAAATAAATCTAAGTTTCCAGGTTAAACAGATTATACGAAACCTTTCGCCGAGGTGACGATTACATAAACCTCGCTAAACAGTTACAAATCATTCCTTGTGCTGTAACATACTGAGTGCTGAGAGAGAGAGAGAGAGAGAGAGAGAGAGAGAGAGAGAGAGAGAGAGAGGGGGGGGGAGGAGAGAAAGAGAGAGAGAGCGTGTGAGAGAGAAAGTGAGAGTGTGTGTGTATGTGGGAGCAAGGGAGATAGATATATATATAGATAGATAGATA